TCGCCCTAACCCCGGCTGAACTGACAGGACCCGCGCTGCAGCCGCCGAGGTCCTTCCGCTCCGGGCCAGGCCGCTCCCCGGAAGTCCTCCGCAAAGGCGTCCCCTCCGGCGCCAGAAACTGGCGTCGCGCTGTTTGGTTCCGAGGCGCTCTCTGAGCCGTGGGTGGCCGGGGTCTGTGGGTGACCTGGATGCCTTTGCTCTGCGACTGGGGTGCCCGAGCCCGTGCAGCCCGTTTACATGTCCCCGCATCGTTCACGCAGTGACTGATTCTCGGCGGGGCGCGGGCACCCAGGGTCCAGGCCTGGCTTTGAGTTCAGCCCCGTTTCCCTGGTGTTGGGTAAGTTACATGGTTCCAATGTGCCGCGTTTTTTCTCACGTGGAAAATTAACGGTACCCACCTCAGAGACTGATCGTGAGGGTTAGTAAGCACTCGCTTGATGTATATAAACTTTTACTATTGTCGTCGCATCCAGGTGTCTCTTTCAGATTGTCTTTTGGCAAACAAACCCAAAATGTAAAGAACACTGTGATAAAAAAACAAGTAAAAACTAAAAAAACTTGATCTAGTCAAACTTTGGATCCATACAATGGAATATTATGCAGCAATAAACATGAATTACGTGTTGACACGTGCAGCACGCTTAGTGAAAGAAGCCAGTCACAATGGCCACACGCTGTATGATTCCACGGACAAAGATTCTCCCATCCACCAAACCTTACGCAAGCTCCCTTATCAGGAAAAAGGCCGAACTCTTTATCAACAGGCCTGACTTTTGGACTAGCATGTTCTTTTATGTGTCATCCAATTTTACTAAGAATTCTGTCAGTTTAGCCAGAATCCCCCTCCCATACGTCAACAAACACCTACTTAAAAACTGGCCAGTTGGATCCATCTGAGCTGTGATGGGCTGCTAGTGTCTCCCGCAGAGGCAGGCGGTGGAGGCTCAGTGCACAAGCCCTTCCACCTGTTCGAACACCAGCACCACAAAAAGGCTTTGTCTGATGACACAAGGAACAGAGGCCCTTAAGGAAAGACCCAAAATCTTCTCAATTAGTAGCTATCAGCACCACAAAAAGGCTTTGTCTGATGACACAAGGAACGGAGGCCCATAAGGAAAGACCCAAAATCTTCTCTGAATTAACTCTATTCAGATAAATAATGTTTGAGAAATAAATGTGTGTTCATTTACATGGGAGCTGTCTGTTTGTTTATAAGTGTGTAGCTTATGATACTTTATGGAAGGTGAGCCCTGCAAGGATCACTTGCCTGTGCAGTGTCATAGAGCCAGTCAGTACCAAACACAGTGGAAGCTCAGACGTTTGACCAACAATGACTTCTGTTGTCTGACTCATTAGTGGCTCTAACTGTGGGGTTTTAAGGCAAATGCAAGTTCTGGGGGAAGTATTGGGGGGTAAATGATCATCTCCGAATCTTCAGAGTATTGCTGACTGCTTGCTTCTGTGACCCTATGTTCACTAGCGCACTGGAAAATTGATTACTTCTTTGTTTTGCCTGGCCTCTCACAGTTGAATGAATGTGGTATATTAGTTTGAGCATATTTCCATTATGGAATACTATTGCCTTATTCAGTTGGTCAAAGTTAGGGCACATGATTGGGGGCATTTCCTTGTCAGTGAGAGTCGCCGCTAACTCATTTGCATTGGACTTTACAGGAATACCAGTGTTGGTGTAAGAAACATCCAAACCTGTAGAGAATTTTTCTGAGTTTATATGAGCTGAGTTGATGACAATTGCTGGGAAGCAAAATTGATGACAGTTGCTGGGAAGTAGGTTATAGTAATCTCAGTAAATGGAGAAAATGCTCCAGAGAATGGCAGTTGTTTTTTGTGTTTTTTTTTTGTATTTTATATATCACAATCAAAGGAGGAAATGTAAGGAGGATTACATGAAATTCATTGGTAGATTAAGGGGGCAGGAGAAAGCAAAGCAGGATGGGGGAGTCTCTCGGACTGGATAAATAGCTAAATAGAAAAGGCATCCTTCTTTTACGTCGGTGGGTCCGGGATAGTTGGCAACAAACATGTACAGCACATGGATGTGGTGTGGGGAACAAGGTAACAATGGGGGGGAGGGGGCTTCTGGGGTCTCATGGTTTGGTGCCAGTGGTTGTGCCTTGAGGGGTCTGGAAAAGAAGATTACTCTGACATTTCAAAGACACCTTATCTTAGATACAAAAAGACAATAGAGAGGCTCACTTGAAGACTGACTTTTGTCGAGGAAGCTACAGACCTAGACCATGACTACCCACCATGACCCATATTTAGTTAGGAATTTTTTTAAAAATTAAATTTATTGGGGTGGCATTGGTTAATAAGATGATATAGGTTTCAAGTGTACATTTCTATGATACATGACCTGTGTATTGAATTGTGTTCCCACCACCCAAAGTCAAATCATCTTTTGTCACCATGTACTAGTATTTGGTTCCTTTTACCCTTTACTATCCTCCCACCCCGCTTCCCTCTGGTAACCACCATACTGTTGTCTGTGTTTACGAGTTTCAGTTTTATATCCCACGTATATTCGTTAGGAGATTTTCTGTTCAGGCCATCCTCTGTGGTTACTTTCAGTTCTGAGTTTTTAAGGCCTGCTCTGCAGGCCTCCCCTGAGCTTGTCAGATTTAGCAAATGGCTCCTTCTTCCTCACTGGGAATTACTGAGTCTATTGCCAGGGATTCATCTTGCTGGGGAACTGGGTTTGAGGCTTGGGAAAATGAGCACATCAGCATGGCGTTTGCTCTGTGCAGGGGATAGCTTGACCAAGAGAAAATGCCTTCGTGTTGGGGCGGGGAGTGATCTTATTCTGCCTGTGCAGGTAAAGTCTTGCCAGGTAAAGGGATGCCTGGAGAGGCTTTACCGTGTCTCCGCGTCTCCAACCATCACCTCCTGGAACTGCAGCATTCGCATGACTGCAGAGCTGCCTGCAGCAAGCTACATCACCTGGGCAGAGCATCTAGTTCTAACCAGCAATCAGCACATCCTGCCACACTGTCTGCAGGACAAAACAATGATGGGTGCCCCACTGCAGCTTTGCAGTCTGTGGATGTGGGCAGCTGGTCACGCGAAGGTGGCAGGCCTGACTAGGCCTTTACATTAGGTTAAACATCCAATTCACAAATGTCTTCTCTAGCTGGTTACCTCGTTATCTGTCTAAATGTATCAAATTAAGTGAATAAATCTCCGATGTGGTGTTAAGCAGACACGAACCTCACTATTAGCTAAGGAGTGGTCATCAGTCTTAGATTGAATTTCAAATTCAGGAAAGCATCTTTTAATATAAAGTATTCTCTTTGCTTCATTCATGTGTTTATTTTAGTCTCATGTGTCCACTGCTGAGCCAGGAGCTGGGATGACAAAGAGGGAAAGGACAGAGCTGTAAAAACAATGAGGAGAGGCAGTGAAAGAAGCACGTTTCTAAGTGTGGAGCCTCGTGAAGGAATCGCAGTGGGCTCCGGGAACAGGGCCCATGTCTGGAGGGGGTGTGGAGTAGGGGAAGGAGGGAGTGGAAGGATAAATTCCAATGAGAAAGATGCCCGCCTTACACCAAGAAGAAGAGAACATTATTGTCACCAGATACGGAGGCAATGCAAGATGAATCTCTACAAACACACCTACTAAGTTAACCCTTACTTCCATAATTTTTCCCATATATTTCCTATCCAATGTCACACCCCTGGCTCAAGCCCCTTTGTCTTGTGACATTCCCACAATTTATCATTATTTGTTCAAAAATGTATATAAACTTTTGGTCTAATGGTTTCTTCAGGTTTTCATTTTCCTTTTGAAGACTCCCATGTGCATGTGAGAATAGTAAACCAATTTGTATGCTTTTCTCCTGTTAATCTGTTTTATGTCAGCTCAGCTCTTAGGCCAGCCACAGAATCTAGCAGGGTAAAAGGAAGTTTCCCCCTTCTTACTCCTACTGCTCTTTACACATGATTTTTTTAAGATTCTTGGGGAATCAAATATTTTTTCCTCAAACTGAATTTCATAATTTGGAGAATCTTCTTATAAAACAACAGTCGATAAACTGTGCTGAGGAATTGCTGGTTTCAGTGAAAGTAGCACTTGGTGACTGGATGCATTCTTCTTGATCAGGTCTCAGTTTTCTGGGTTACTTGGTACATATTGGTTGAGAACAATCAATTATGCTGCTACAATTTACAATTTGATGAAGATATTGAGGAAAATGTGAGAAGAAAGATGTTAATTAGAGGAGTTGAAGTGTGGGCTCCTTAAAATTCCTCATCAAACTTGTAGAAAGAGAGAAAAACTTTAAATTGTCCTTGAGTGATTTGGAAATGCTTTGTGGTTTGCCTCTTCCACCAATCCGAACATCTTCAAGTTGGATATGCAGTTCCAGAAAACACCACTAGTGGGTGCCCCTTCTCCATGAATCCATTGGCTTTTCCCTACCTAACCTCTGTGGGGGACCACAGCTGGCCTGAGACATTTAATTTTTGTGCAAGTCCCTGGCCAGACAGGTGCTTGGTCAGGCTAGGGACGTTGGAAGTTTGTCATGAGGTCCAGGTTAGAGCTTGAGAATCAACAAGGACTACTAGGGTTCTTTTGAATTTGAATTGAAATTATTAAAGATTTTGCTGCCCTGGCCAGTTTGGCTCAGTGGATAGAGCGTTGGCCTGCGGACTGAAGGGTCCCGGGTTCGATTCTGGTCAAGGGCATTTACCTTGGTTGAGGGAACATCCCCAGTGGGGGGGGGGGCAGGTGCAGGAGGCGGCTGATGGATGTTTCTCTCTCATCAATGTTTCTAACTCTCTATCCCTTTCCCCTCCTCTCTGTAAAAAAATCAATAAAAATATATTTAAAAAAAAAGATTTTGCTGACCTTGGTGCAGTCATCAATTTAAATGGAGACTGCAGCCAAGAAATCGAGAGAAGGCTGAGACTCAGAAGGGCAGCAATGAAAGAATTGGAAAGATTGACAGGAGTAAAGAAGTGTCATTAGAGACCAAGGCTAAGATCATGCACACCCGCATATTCCTAATGCATGGATGCGAAAGTTGGACAGTGAAGAAGGCTGGTAGGAAAAAATGGATTCATTTTAAATTCAGTATTGGAGGAGAGCTCTGCAGAGACCCTGGACCACCAGAAAGATGAACAAGTGGGTCCTAGAGCAAATTAAGCCTGAAACATCTCTGGAGGCAAAAATGACAAAACTGAAGCTGGCCTATTCTGAACACATTCTGAGAAAGTAGGGTTCTTTGGGAAAGACAATAATGCTGGGAAAAAGAGAAGGCAGCAGGACAAGAGGAAGACCCAATATGAGATGGATTGACTTCATCACAGAAGCCGTCGGCATGAGTCTCCAGGAGCTGGGCCGGGCTGTTGAGGACAGGACACAGCGGACATAACATAGTCACAGGGTCATCAGGAGTTGAAGCTGACTCAACAGCACAAAACGCATCAGGTTTCGAAGATTGGTCCTATTTGTGGTTTTCCCTAATTTACTAAGGGTTACATAAAAATTAATGTGGTCCTTAAAAATGTATTATTGTCTGCAGTGTTTTAGGATATTATAGTGAATGTTGAGGGGAGAAGACAATTAAACGCTACACAACAGACCTAGTTGATAAATACGAGGAGCTTCTGCAGTTTCGTGAGGAAAACCAGGCCTCAGCGAATGGCTCACACTCACTGTGACCCAGGGCAGGCTCATCCACGGACCTGAAAAACACAGTGTAATTTGCTTTTTTCAAGTTATCTTCAAACTCAGCCGCTCTCGTTTCCTGGTGGATTAAGCCCGTGTCGCAAGATCCAGTTTCATTTCTGTTTCTATACTCACCCCTGGTTTCTTAATACAACCCAGTCTGTGGAACCCACTTTAGCTCAGAGGAGTTTGCTTCTCTGCTGGGCAAGTCTAACCGTCAGGCCAGACCACCACTTCTGGAAGTAAAATGTTACAGACCTTCAGCACTGGAAGGGCCACCCACACCTGCATTTCCAGAATATTCTCTCGCATTCAGGACTCTACTAGTATCTACTTGGCAACCAGAGAGGTCGTCATGTACTCCAAGGCCAAAAGAAACAAGACTGCCTTGGATCGTGATCTCCTTCTTCTCTGTTTGGGAGACAGGGGACATAGGAGCCCCAGGGCAGCCTTCTATGGTCCTTTCAGGCACCTTTGGCTGATTTAGCAACAAGCAAGAGGGTGAGTAATGTAAAACTTGACAAAATTGGCCCCAAATAGACTGTGGAGTTGCTGGCAGGCCCATATCTCACTGTCCTTGAGAAAAGGGAGAGTGGACACTGCGTTGTGGCACTCGCACTGGGGGCCAGGTTACAAAGGAGGGCCCCCCAAGTTCAGGGTCAGGCCCTGAGGGGAGCACCTTCCCCATGAGGCCTCTCCTTGCCTCACCCCATGCCCTCCTGGGCCACAGCACCCAGCATGGTGTGGCTCTTCCAGGCATGGCTCCCTTCTCTTCCTCCTCTTCCCCCTTCCTCCTCCCATCCCCCCTCACTGCTTCTGCTTATTATCTTTATGGTGGTTTAAAAGTATTTCGAAGTTCTACACATTTAAACTAATTTGATGCACAGTGTAACATAGAACTAACACATTTCTTCACGTGAAAACATACCCGATATATACTTTACTTTTCCAAGTTATCTTCAAAATCAGAGCTCCTGGATAACCCATTTTCACTCTAAGGGGTGTGTATGGAATAAGATCCATTTGGCAAATGGCCAACTAAAGACTCTTTGAGCAAGGTTCAGAGAGGAAAGAGCTGCAGTCACCTCATAACCGGAAGACTTGTAAAAAGTCTGGTTTCCAGTAGAGAGAGCTACTTCTTGACCAAGTGTAGTAATTGGACCGTCTTTATAAACTGTCAGCTTTCTGGGCAGTGGCAGGTGGAAAAAGAGGATTCTGTTCTCATGACTACATAGCAATGCTTCCAGTTCTGTGATAGATTTTTAAAATTTCATAGCATTGGGGTTTTTTGGAACAAGGTTGCAGAAGCCAAGGTACTAAAACACAGCTCTGAGAGTAATGTGCTCATTGGGGTGAGGAGCAAGGCACGAACAACACCGACTGTCGTCAGAAAGTGCGCTGGTGTCAACTCTAAAATTGCCACCATTAAAAAGGAGGCACATATATGAGGGCTTGTAAATCAAGTCGGCAATTGTACTAAAGGGCCATCTCTCTATCAAATTTAGCATTGATCCGGACTCTTCACACAGCACTGCGCCCAGCTTGAAGTTTCACAGTAGGAGAGGGATGTGGCAACTGGGAGAGGTTCTGAAGGTGGCCCCCACAGCACAGTGAAGGCCCAGCCCACAGTTGAGAGCCAGGTTCCAGCACTGCTTTGCTCTACGAGGATGGGTTCAGAGAGGTTGAATAATCTGCTCAAAGTCACTTGGAGAGTGAGCTGAAGAGTCAAAATTCCCATCCTATCTTTCTGACTCCAGATCCAAGATTAAACACCATGGATTAACAGGCCTGCCTGCAAGGAAGAGAACAGACCTGGGTTGATTCCGTTTAGATACAGAAACCTGAAACGAGACTCGCTATTGATCACCAATGTGCTTGAAAGGGTTTGTGTATAAAGGAATAAAAGTACGTTCTTATTCTTCTCTTTTTTGTTTTGTTTTTTAGTAGAGAATTCAACCCAAATCTATAGCATGAATTAAATATAGGAAAAGTAATTAGATACTGTGACCTTAAGGAGGGGTCCAGCTCTGTGAGGTAGAGACCACATCTGTCTTACTCCTCTTGAGCCCAAGGCTGCCCTAGAGCCTGGCACATACACAGAGTTAGTAAAATAAATGAATGAATATGAGCCCGAGTATTTAAATCAGTTTTTGAGGCCCTAACTATGAGATTATTGTGGAACAGAGTAAGCATAGTCGTACCTGGCTGGGCATGACAAAAAAGAACCATTTTTGAGACACTCTCAGATATCCTTCTTACTCTAACCAAGACCCACTGATTTCTTTACATCTTAGGTTATGTGTCCAGGAGTCATGCTGTAGTTTCATCATGGTGAGGAGTTTTTATCTGATTTATTTAGATATTTGTTAAAGTAACAGTCACAGGTTTTCAAGGTAAATTATACAAATCCACCTGGGAATCATAACAGAGTAAGTATTAATAGCTAGAGAAAAAAAACATAATACAAAACCCTTGAACTACCCTGCCCCGTGTGGCTCATGTGGTTGGAGCATTGTCACATGTACTGAAGGGTTGTGGGTTTGATTCCTAGTTGGGGTACATGCCAAGGTTGCAGGTTCCATCCCCAGTTGGGGTACATGCAGGAGGCAACCTCTCTCACATTGATTTTTTTCTCTCTCTCCCTTCCTCTCTCACTAAAAATCAATAAAAGCATGTCCTCAAAAAACAAACAAAAAAACAGCACAACCACAAACAAAACACAGAAAAACCCTTTTGAACTCCCAATAATCCTGTGCATAATTGTTTCCAGCTATCAGTCTAAGAAGCACAAAAAATAGTTTTGCTGCATCATCCGGTCAAGCACATTGTGTAAATGCACAGTTGTAGGGTGCTGCCTCATGCACAGTTACAGCTGTTCTCGGTGTGATAACAGTGGAGAGGACCTGGCCAGCTTCCCCCAGACCAGCGCTGGCTTGGGCATCGGGGAGCCCATGGCGGCCTTACCATTTCCCCATCACTGCTTCTCGTACTTATCTTCTTCTCCCAGTTTGTGTTCTGAGTCCTCCTTTCTGCTTCACATTTTGGATCCAGGCTTGAATGTAGCCTTGCTTAAAGTTCAGTTTAATTTCCTACTGGAATCAAAAATATACAATGGAAATAAATACTTTCCTTAGGCAAGGACAGTAAAATATCATTATATTAGAATGCTTGGGAAATGGAGTATTTCAATTCATTGACAATTCTAATCTATTTAGAATTAATCATATTATCTTTTAAAAAATAACAGCTTCATTGAGACATAATTCTATACTGATTCATCCTTTTAAAGTGCTTATATCAGTGGTTTTGGTATATTCAGCATTGTGAATCATCAGCAAATCCAATATGAGAAGAACTTTATCACCCGTCCCCCCGAAACCCCATACTCCTTACCTATCATTCCCCATTCCCCTTCCCACCCTGGCAATCACTAATCTACTGTGTGTCTCCAAGGATTTGCCTATTCTGGGCATTTCATATAAATGGAATCCTATAATATGTGGCCTTTTGCATCTGGCTTCCTTCACCCAGCATAATGTCTTTAAGGTTTATCTTACCCAATGTGGCATGTGTCTGAATTTTTATTCCTTTATATGGTTGTATAATATATCATGGTGTGGTTATATCACATTTTGTTTATCTGTTCCTCAGTTGATAGTCATTTAGGTTATTCCTACTATATGGTTGTTATAAATAATGCTGCTATAAACATTTATGTACAAGTTTTTGTGTGGGCATATGCTTTCAGTTCTCTTGGGTATATACCTAGGACCGGAATTGTTAGGTCTTATGGTAACTATGTTTGAAGAACAGTCGATTGTTTTACAAAGTGGCTGTACCATCTTACATTCCCATCAGCACAGGATGAAAGTTCCAGTTTCTTCACATCCATCGTCAACACTTGTTATTTTCTGTCTTTTGATTCAAGTCAACTAGTAGGTGTGAAGTGAGGTCTTGTGGCTTTGAGTTATATTTCCCTGGTAATATTGGGCATCTTCTCCTAGGCTTATTGGCCATCAATACATCTTATTTGGAGAAATGTCTATTTAAATATTCAGGTAATCCTTTATCATAATAATAATGTTGTTGAAATATCTTTCTAAAATGCATCAAAGTACTTTTACACTAAACCGGTGCATCTACACTTACACATTGAATGTTGTCTGCTTGTTGGTATTGGATGTGCAGAGCCTTCAGGATGTCACCCAAACTCCAGAGTTTTTTCTTTCTTTTATTTTCCTTACCCCTCCCTGAAGGCTGTTCTGGGAACCAAGTGTGGATAAAGTCTGGAGTAGTGGGACCTAGTTGTGCAGGTCTCTCAGGGAGAAAGGTGGAACGGGGTTCTTTCTCTGCTATGGAATCATCTGGACTTGGAAAAGGGGAAAATTAAGGCTCACTGCCATTTCCTCCACTGAAGAGTGTCCATTTACCCTGACTTTTCATAGTCTGTGGGGCTACAATGCACATATCAGTGTTTCATCTAAAATGCTAGTTGAATTCTTAGAGTTTTATTTATTTGCACAATAGAGTTAAGATATAATCGGGCAAACAACCCACCAAGGCATGGCCAATATAATCACAAAATTTCCCAAAGTTTCTATATAGCTCAAGGAATAAATAGAAAAGCCACCTCAATAAACACAACAATGGGTTCCTGTGGCTTAAAAGAAACCACATTAAATTTTTTTCTATTATCTTAAATGGTTAAAACCTTTAAATAGAACCTATTGGATTATCTTCAACTTTATAAGCCTAAAACAACAAATCCCTATTGGGAGCTACGCTGAGTCTTTGATATATAGTAGGCTCTCAATGAGCACTTGTTGATTGATGACACAGGAATATTTTAATAATTAAATTCTTGATTCCAACTACCTATGTAAAAATGTCAACCTATTCCTAGTTCTATAGTCTCATAAAGTAATTAAAATAACTTTAACAACAATCTCTACTTTTTCATTATCCCACTTATTTCCACACCCACTTCTTCAACACACACACACACACACACACACACACACACGCACACGCACACGCACACACGCACATGCTCGCCATATACACTAAATCCTTGAGGTGGTAAATGTCTTAAGGTACTACCTGCCCACATCTTTTTATTTATTGATTGATTGTCTAAAGTTTTACTTATGTCCCCTTTTTCCCAGACTGACTCCCCGCTCTCTGTGTCCATTGGTTATGCTAATATGCATGCAAACAAGTTCTTTGGTTGCTCTCTAACCACCTCCCCTCCCCTGCCATTTGTCTCTGGATCTATTCTTGTTCATCAAATTATGTTGATCATTATATCCCACATATGAGTGAGATCATGTGATATTTATCTTTCTCTGACTGGCTTACTTCGCTTAAGCATAATGCTCTCCAGTTCCATCCATGCTGTTGCAAATGGTAAACGTTCCTTCTTTTTTAGAGCAGCGTAATATTCCATGTGTAGATGTACCACAGTTTTTAAATCCATTCATCTGCTGATGGGCAATTAGTTTGTTTCCAAATCTTAGCTATTGTACCCACATCTTCTTAATAAATGATTTTTTATAAACAGAATTTAGGGTTTGCTTAAACGTTAAAGGCACTGTCCTCACTTTTTTATTTTAACCTTTTGAACTCCTCCACCTATTTCTCTCACCCATCTCCTGCCTCTGGCAGCCACTAATCTGTTTTTTGTATCTGTGAACTTGTTTTGTTTTTCAAAATTAAACATATAGGAAATCAGGTTGTATTTGTCTTTCTCTGTCTGACTTGTTTCACTTAGCATAAGGCCCTCGAGGTTCATCCATGTTGTCTCAAATGGCAAGACTTCACTGTTTCTTATGGCTGAATTATATATATACCCCACAATTTCTTTATCCATTTATCCATCTTTGGAGAGTTAGGTTGTTTCCATGTCTTGACTATTACTCATAGTGCTACAATAAACTTGGGGCGCAGATATCTTTTTTAGTTACTTTTTTTATTCGTGTTTTTATTCTGTGTGGCAGATGCATACAGTAAAGAAGAAGAAAAAAGATTGCTTGCCAAGTAAATGCCAGGCACTTTTATAGTCATGTTTGCAAACACTACTTATTTAAACCTGATTTGAGTTCTGGGACAGAGTTCGTATCCTCTCCACAAACTAGAAATGGAGGTTCAAGGGGCTGAGTGAGCTTGGAGGCAGCCTCATGTCCCCTGCATCTCATCATGCCACTCTGCACTCATCAGTAAACATTCAACTGTTGCTCCTTGAGATCACTTGTGTTTTATTTTTGTTTCCTGCTCAGGTATGTGGGTTATTTGGGGTTGAGGCACTAGATTAGAGTAATACATACTAGGTTTACCAGTTAATAATGCGGATTATTTTCAATAGATGGAGTTACACATATGTTGATATATATTCGATTTGATATGTATGCTATTTTGTTGTATTGCTCCTTCAGATTACCACTTGTTCCGATCGATGGCACATGCACTTTCTGAGCAGCACTTCAAAACGTACGAAGAAGTGGAAAAGGTCTGTCTCAAAACAAGAAAAGTTCTATTGAGACAGTATCCACAAATTATCTGAAAGATGGGAGAAATGTGGAGCTAGCGATGGACATTACTTTGAATAAAGAACTTTCGATGTTTCTCTTGAAATTATCGTGCTTTCTTTGATTACAAAAATCCGCATTATTACAGTTAATAATGCAGATTAATGATTAACCAGTTAATAGTGTGGATTAATTATTAAACAGTTAATAAAGTGGATTTTGTAATCCAAAGAAAACACGATAATTTCAAGAGAAACATCAAAAATGCTTTATTCCAAAGATTTGGCCTTGTCAACAATGTTGATGGTTGACCTGGATCAACCCATGATTTTGTGCATTTGGGACTCTCAAAATAAATCCACTTTTCATCACCAGTCACAATTTGATGCAAAAAAGACTTTCTTTCGTGCCATTGAAGCAACATTTTACTAATGACTTTTCGGTTTTCCATTTGTCTTTCGTTCAGTTGATGTGGCACCCATTTTCCTTCCTTTAAAATCTTTCCCATTGCTTGTAAATGATCGGAAATTGTTTGCTGAGCAACGTTTAATCTTTCTGCAAATGAAGAAACGTACAGCGTTCCCTTACAGTGGTTCTCAACCTTCCTAATGCCGCGACCCTTTAACACAGTTCCTCATGTTGTGGTGACCCCCAACCATAAAATCATTTTCGTTGCTACTTCATAACTGTAATTTTGCTACTGTTATGAATCGTAATGTAAATATCTGATATGCAGGATGTATTTAGGCGACCCCTGTGAAAGGGTCATTCGACCCCCAAAAGGGTTGTGACCCACAGGTTGAGAACCGCTGCCTTAGAAGATGCTGCAGGGAGAGAAGGAATCAAGACTCTAAGGAAAAAGGGCAAGTCAATGAGAGAGGGCATATTTTCTGAAAATTTAAAGGTAAACGTGTATATCCTCCTGTCCTGGACCAGCCAAGGTCCCAGACTCAGCTGACCTGGGAGGTGGCATCTGGTCTTCAGACGGCTGGGAAAGGGCGGCTACTGGGGTTTCTTTGGGCCACTTTCCAACTTTCTTGTCCTATAAAACAGTTCTTTCCTCCCTTAACCTGCAGTTTTCAAGTAGCTGATTTTGTTTTTCTTTTTAAAGGGAAGAGCCTTACATAAAAAATGTCCTGCTACCCCGCCCCCACCTCCTGCTGACTAAGTCCCTGATGTTTGCAAGGCTGGGAGGCAGGGCTAGTTCAAAGCCCTCAGACCTGACAGCAGGAAAGGGGGTTTTCTACTGAGGAATTCCAAAGCCCTGCTCTCTGCCTCTGTGTTTGTCACTACCTCCCTCCCTCAGGGACACCCTGAAGCAGAAGGCCCTGGAATCTTATAAACAGGGCGTGACATCACGTCACTGGTGACAGAGCTGCCTGTTGGTTTGGGGCACTCAGATCACAATTCCGACTTGGGAGGCAATGAGTTGGCAGTTGTTTCTTTCTGCTTTCCATGCTTGTCTTTTCAGGAGGAAGGAAAGCACAGAGCAGCAATAATCTCACCAGGCCCAGTGCTGGGACGCCTGCCACCCTGGCTGCTTGCCTGTGGTCTTTGTCAGAACTGAG